TAATTAAATTTTCTCAATGTCAGATGGACTGGACTATATATATATATATATATATATATATATATATATATATATATATATATATATATACATATATATATATATATATATGTATATCAATGAGATATATATATATATTTTGGAACGAGGTTTACTTTGATGCAAATATCGTTAAATATTTTTGCCCATTTTGCATTAATTAATTTTTTAATAAGGATTTCGGCAACACGAAGCTGTTTTAATTCATATTTATTATCATTATGTGTCATCCTAGGCTTACAACGTTGTTTCGACATACAGTCATCATCAGAGCCTGGTTTTGCGAAATATCAAAAATTGAATTATAATTTAAACATTAAAATCAAGAAATTTAATGAAAAGTACAAGAAATGAAATTATGACGTTGTAATTAGAAAATTAGAAATATGAAAATATAAAATATGAGAAAATGTTACCTTGTAATAATAAAATATTGTAATAAAACAATAAACGGTTTTAAACGAATGAAATTAAAACAAAATTATCAAAATAAGTAAATAAAATTGTGTAGAAACGTATAATAAAACAATTCAGTTAGACGGGAAAAACAAGTGTTTCGTGGCGGGATGATATTAAAAGTGAAAGTCAGTAAGATGATATAAAAAAGGTGAATGTAGAAATTAAAAAAAACAAATAATTTAGATAAAGAAAAAATAAAATTTGAAACAAAATAAAATGACGTTATTAAAATAAGTATTATAGAAAGATAAGTAATAGAATATAAATATAAAAAAATCAAAAAATAAAATAATTTAGCAGTTATTGAATAAGGTAGCAAGTGACGTGATGACCATGGATTTTGGACGTGACAATAATAACTGTGTAATAACTGGTCAAAAATTGTCGGACTTAGAGCGATATTCGTATCGTTTGGGTACTGAAACGTCTGCTGGCTTGTTTTCGACTGCAATTGTTGGTATCAGTTCACGATATTGAGAAAATAATTGAAGGGTATGATCGAAACTATTATATTGTTGGTTTAATGTTGGTTTGCATTTGTTGATGTACAGGGCTTCGCGAATTTTGAGACGTCCAGTATTTGATACTGAATCCAGTATTGTTGTATTTGAATCCAATATGGTCCTAGTAAGAGGCATATGGTGCTCGTTGGACATATGGTCTCTAATGGCGCCGTCCAGCAAAATCTATATAACCGTATATATCACAATATGACTAAATATAACGAATAACTCTACATAACTATATATAAATCTATACAACCGTATATATCACTATATGACTATATATAATCAATAACTCTACATAACTATATATAAATCTATATAACCGTATATATCACTATATAACTATATATAATCAATTACTCTACATAACTATATAAAAATCTATATAACCGTATATATCACTATATAACTATATATAATAATTAACTCTACATAACTTCAAATTTTAACATAAAGGCGCTTATAAATCTATTCATATTGGCTCAGCATGGCTTGGCTCGGCTTGGAATCGGATGCTAAGCAAGGTTTGGTCTCAAACTATTTTGAATAATCCCCGGAAAATTTGAACTGCGTGCGTTCATATATAGCAACGAATACTGTTGATTTTATAATAAATTTATAAAATATATAAATATAACGAGCAAAATTTTAACATAAAAGCGCTTATAAATCTATGCATAATGGCTCAGCTTGGCTTGGCTCGGCATGGAATCGGATGTTAAGCAAGGTGTAGTTTTAAACTATTTTAAATTCTTCCCGAAAAATGTGAACTGCGTTCGTACATATATAGCAATGATTATAATGAATTTATAATATATATATATATATAACGAGCAGAATTTTAACATAAAAGCGCTTATAAATCTATGTGAATTGGCTCATATCACGATATATCACTACATAACAATATATATTCAATAACCCTACATAACTATATATAAATCTATATAACCGTATATATCACTATATGACTATATATAACAAATAACTCTATATAACTATAAATAAATCTACATAACCATATATATCACTATAAGACTATTAATAATCAATAACTCAAAATAAATATAAATAAATCTATATAACCGTATATATCATTATATAACTATAAATAATCAATAACTCTACATAACTATATACAAATCTATATAACCATATATATCACTTCACAACTATATATAATCAATAACTCTACATAACTAAATATAAATCTATATAACCGTATATATCACTATATAACTATAAATAATCAATAACTCTAAATAACTATATACAAATCTATATAACTATCGTACTTATATAGCAATGGATACTGATGTTTTTATAATGAATTTATAAAATATATAAAAATAGTGAGAAAAAATTTAACATAAAATAGCTTATAAATCTATCCATATTGGCTCACCTTGGCTAAGATTGGCTTGGAATAGAATGTCTAGCAAGGTGTGGTCACAAACTATTTTGATTTATCCCCGAAAAATTGGAACTGCGTGCGTACATATATAGCAATGATTACTGTTGTTTTTATAAAGAATTTATAAAATATAAAGATATAACGAGCAAAATTTTAACATGTAAGCGCTCATAAATTTAAACATATTGGCTCAGCTTGGCTTGGCTCGACTTGGAATTGGATGTTAAGCAAGGTGTGGTTTCAAACTATTTTGAATTATCTCTGAAAAATTTGAACTGCGTGCGTACATATATAGCAACGATTACTGATGTTTTTATAATAAATTTATAAAATATATAAGAATAGTGAGAAAAATTTTAACATAAAACTGCTTATAAATCTATGCATATTGGCTCAGCTTAGCTTAGTTCGGCTTGGAATAGAATGTCTTGCAAGATGTGGTCTCAAACTGTTTTGATTTATCCCCGAAAATTTGGAACTGCGTGCGTACATATATAGCAATGATTACTGTTGTTTTTATAATGAATTTATAAAATATATAAATATAACGAGAAAAATTTTAAAATGAACGCGCTCATAAATCTATACATATTGGCTCAGCTTGGCTTGTCTCGGCTTGGAATTGGATGTTAAGCAAGCTGTAGCCTTAAGTTATTTTGAATTTACCTCGAAAATAGTGAACTGCTTGCGTTGATATATAGCAATGATTACTGATGTTTTTATAATGAATTTATAAAATATATAAATATAACGAGCAAAATTTTAACATAAAAGCGATTATAAATCTATGCAAATTGGCTCAGTATATATAACTATATAATTATAAATATTCAAGAACTCTACATAACTATATATAAATCTATATAACCGTATATATCATTATATGACTTTATATTACCATTAACTCTACATATCTATATATAAATCTATATAACCGTATATATCACTATATGACTATAAATAATCAAAAACTCTACACAACTATATATAAATCTACATAATCATATATATCACTATATGAATATATATTATCAATAACCCTATAAAACTATATATTAATCTATATAACCGAAAATATCACCTTATGACTATATATATTATCAATAACTCTACATAACTATATATAAATCTATATAACTGTATATATCACTATATAAGTATACATAATCAATAACACTATATAACTACATAGAAATCTATCTAACCGTATATATAACTATATAAATATATATAATCAATAACACTATATAACCTTATATAAATTTATATAACCGTAGATAACACTATATAACTATATATAATCAATAACCCTACACAACTATTTATAAGTTTATATAACCTTATATATTACTATATTACTATATATAAACACTAACACTACATAACTTTATAAATCTTTATAGCCATATATATCACTATATAACTATATACAATCAGTAACACTATATAAAAATATATAAATCTTTATAACCGCTTATATCACTATATGACTATATATAACCAATAACTCTACATAACTATATATAAATTTATATAAACAACATATATTGGAATTGGAATTGGATGTTAAGCAAGGTGTGGTCTCTAACTATTTTGAATTCTCTCCGAAAAATTTGAAATGCGTGCGTACATATATAGCAATGAAAACTGTTTTTTTTATAATGAATTTAAAAAATATATAAATATAGTAATCAAAATTTTAACATAAAAGCGGTCATAAATCTAAGCCTATTGGCTCAGCTTAGCTTAGTTCGGCTTGGAATAGAATGACTATATATGACTATATATAACCAATAACTCTACATAACTATATATAAATTTATATAAACAACATATATTGGAATTGGAATTGGATGTTAAGCAAGGTGTGGTCTCTAACTATTTTGAATTCTCTCCGAAAAATTTGAAATGCGTGCGTACATATATAGCAATGAAAACTGTTGTTTTTATAATGAATTTAAAAAATATATAAATATAGTGATCAAAATTTTAACATAAAAGCGGTATGGGTGTTAAGCAAGGTGTAGCCTTAAACTATTTTGAATTTACCTCGAAAATAGTGAACTGCGTGCGTTGATATATAGCAATGATTACTGATGTTTTTATAATGAATTTATAAAATATATAAATATAACGAGCAAAATTTTAACATAAAAGCGCTTATAAATCTATGCAAATTGGCTCAGTATATATAACTATATATATTCCAGAACTCTACATAACTATATATAAATCTATATAACCGTATATATCATTATATGACTTTATATTACCAATAACTCTACATATCTATATATAAATCTATATAACCGTATATATCACTATATGACTATAAATAATCAAAAACTCTACACAACTATATATAAATCTATATAATCATATATATCACTATATGAATATATATTATCAATAACCCTATAAAACTATATATTAATCTATATAACCGAAAATATCACCTAATGACTATATATATTATCAATAACTCTACATAACTATATATAAATCAATATAACTGTATATATCACTATATAAGTATACATAATCAATAACACTATATAACTACATAGAAATCTATCCTACCGTTTATATAACTATATAACTATATATAATCAATAACACTATATAACCTTATATAAATCTATATAACCGTAGATAACACTATATAACTATATATAATCAATAACCCTACACAACTATTTATAAGTTTATAAACCTTATATATA